TTCTAAGCACAAATTTACCATTTTCATAACTCTTGGATGGATGTTCTATAAATTTGAGATTTTAAAAGTTCGATTTACCAAAAGGCGCCGGGTGAGGGGCGTTCTAAATCTTAATGTTTAGTCAGCTACGATTTAGGTCCAACTGCAGATGTATTTTACAAGCCCAGAGGGATAAGGAGATCACAGTTTTGAATTTTTTTATTTTTTTATAACGACCAGATAAGACAAAAGAGCAATTATGGTGGAATGCGAGGACTTCGTCAATAACAGCTAATTGCAAAAAAGCATATTACATCGAAACCGGTTGCGCGTTGAGCGCCATTAGTTTTTTGTTTGTTTGATTTTTCACTGCTTACACTCATAGGTATTTACTAAGCCGTGGAAAGCCAGTAGTTTTTTGTTTTTTTGATTTTTTACTGGTTGCACTAATATGTATTTACCAAACGGTGAAAGGACAATTTCCCTTTACCATTTTTTGATGTGATTTGCAGTTGTCAAGTCTGAAGCGGGAGCCTGGCGTGGGATGTGAGTCACCTGATTTGCCATTCACCGAAGCGACGAGTGCTGATAAAGAGAAAACAGCAAAATGCACAGCCGAGGAAAATGAAGAACGGGGGTGTGGTAAAACCGGTGCTTCGAATGCTGTTGCACTTGAAGGAATTAAAGTGACATTCGATCAGGTTGATTTTCTCTCCCTCCCACTTTTTGTTCATTTTTAAACTTTTTTTTAACCGAAACATTCAGTGTTGAAATGGCTTAGCTACGAAAAACTGGACGAAAAGCCGATTTTAAAAAAATACAATTTCGATGCCCATATTTACCAAGAAATTGACCTGGACAATGTTTCAAGAGCAACTTTTGGCATTTGTTCGGGTAAAAGTTCGTCTGGTGTTTGACACTGGTTTGGACTAGGCGATTTAGTGCCGGAAATGTCCGTTTTAAATCAATAATAGCCTGGCGAGCATTGCCACTTTTTTATAATTGTATCTACGAAATTTATTTTGCCTGAAATTCGAACATCTCCGCTTTTTTAAATAGTAAAATTCACTGAGTTTAAAAGATTTGAACTTTTTTTTTGTTTTTTGACTTTGAGTAAAAATTTTTATGGGATGAGAGTTTGCGTGTGTGTGGATCTGAGCGTACGCGCACTGTAGAGAAGCGAAATCAAGTTTATGACTTACTGATGATGAATCGTGCCAACAGTAAATAAACAGCACGAAGCGTGGCGCTTGGAATCTGTCGAGTCTGTGGGCTTGTCGAGTAAGAGTTTTTGTAGCAGAGAATGGTCGATGAGGCCCAGGAGTGTACTAGAGACGTCGAGTCCCAAAAATCTTGAAGAGCTGGGGGTGGTGTCGTTCGAGGAGACTGAGAGCCATCGTAAAGCTGGAGGAGAAACTGAGACCACGAAGAATGGTAGGGAGGTTTATAAAGGGTGTAAGAATCGCCCCAACAGAGGATTTGATAGTTTTTTTGGAGAGGTTAAAGATGTAAAAATGGTAATTAGGGTAGAGGGAAGTGTGAAAAGGGAAAATGGAAATAAGGATTTTTAAGAGGGTTAAAAAAAGGGACTGAAAGGAAAAATAACAAAAATGGGACGTCTGTGAATGCAGATGCATTCCAAAATGGGACCCGAAACGGGGATGAAGGGAAGGATATCTAATAAGGTTTTTATATGGTTTTAAGGGGTTTTTTTGTTACCAATTATTTACACTTTGCTATCTTTTACAGCTTGCACTGGACTGCGATAAAACCGTTATCGACCCTGCTCTTTTTGATGAATCGCCGGAAGGAGCCGATGAGGGTGCATTGAAGCGAGGAACTCTTGGTTCCGGAGTGATACTACTGGCACAACAGCTGATGCGTAATTCAGATAAATCGAAACGAAAAGACAAGGCCATAAGGTAAAATTTAAGTAACAAAAAAAATTTTTTGTGTTACTAATCTTCATATGTATTTAGTGCGTTCTTGAGAACGAGGTTAGGGAGAGAATGGGATGAATAATGAGATGAACCATCTTTCATTGCCACGGCGTGGGAATCAAAATTGCTCGTATAGGATGGTATAAATATAAATAATTGGCCAGCACACCGACCGCTGGTCCAAAGATGCGTTTTTTGCACAGTTTCCCGCAAGTTTTTGTCGCTAATGACATCGTTTTTTTTTTTTTTTTTGGGAAGATGCTTTCAGTTAAAAGAATGGAGGCTGGTCACCACCAAGGTGAGAAAACATTCCCTTAAAATTACGGCTTTCTAGCTTTTCAAATTCCCAAGTTATCAACCTATCTGCAAAAGATTTTCACTGACCCGTACATGGGAACCACACGCATCTGGCAGCTGCATTTGAACTCATTAAGTCCGGAAAAATTACCTTGAAATTCCAGTTTTCTAGCTTTTCAGGTTCTCGAGGTAGCAACTTACCCGCCAAAAACATTCACAGGTCCGTACGTAGAAACCACGTAGGCAAGAGTGCCCATTTTAGAGACAGGGGCCCATGCATGCATGTGGATTAAGCTCACAAAATTTCAGCGTTGTAGCTTTTGTAGGTCTCGAGATGAAAAATAGGTACAGACGCACAGCAGACACATACACACAGACATCTCCTCAACAGCATGTATTTTTGCATTGCACAGATGCAAAAAACGCATGTGTCGTTGAGTTTATTCAGAAGTAGATACAGTTTTATTACAGAATCACAGAATCTGGCCAAAAAAATAAAAATTCCCATTTGAAAGCGTAAAGCTTAGAAAAAAAAAACCTAAATAATGCCATATCGCAGCAATATCATCTCAAGATCAGATTGCTGGTACTAATTTAAGTGGCTGGGGAGAAGAGGGGGAGAGGGAGGGGAGGGTAAGGGGGAAATTAGGGTGCGCTGTATTTCGTTGAAAGTTATTCAGGTCATTGTGTTGTTAGCTAGTTTTGTACATAGGCACGATAATTATTTTCTCCTCATATCGGTCACTGCTGCAGCAAATCGAAAGTTCAGGTTATCGACAGACATGACTGACTTCCGTTATCGCACCGAATTGCCCGAAGGCGCAGCAACACCCGGAACTGTATCGTCGCCCGATGACATCGATAGCATGAGCTCACTGGGAAGCACACGCACTGAAGCAGCTAGTAGTATGGATAAGCTGTCTGGAATGCTTCGAAGTCACTCACAAATGATTGATGTAAGCCTCTAAAAATTTATTTTTTTTCAGTTTTTTCCCAGTTATCTAATTTTGTTTTTCTTTTACGTGGCTTTTCGCTGTCGACAGAACTGGCATCCCCGAAATACATCGATTTCAATTAATCACTGAAGCGAATGCATGATTCCTAGGCGGATACCGGTGTTTTTAACATGGAAGCAACGCTGCTTACTTGCTTACTACCCCATTCCGTCAAGCATTACGCATTTGCTGTATTATCGCTTTCTTTATTACTTAATAGCAGCAGTTATCTTGGGTCCGGCAAACCAACAAGTCAAGCAAAAACCAAAGAAAAATGATTGGCCAGCGCACCGACTGTGATGCGAAGATGCGTTTTTTGCATAGTTCCTCGCAACTTTTTTGTCGCTAGAGGCACCGGTTTTTCTTGCAGATGCTTCTAGCTGAACGAATTGACACTAGCCACCAGAACTGTCGAGAAACAGCACCTTAAAATTTCAGTTTTTTAGCTTTCTTGGCTCCTGAGTTAGCAACTTACCCGCAAAAAACTTCCGCAAGCCTGTACATGGGAACCACGCATACCCAGGGGCTAGTTTGAAATGATTAAGATCTACGTGGATGGGGGATTTCCCTCTGAAATTTCAGCCTTCTAGCTCTTCTGGTCTCCGAGTTAGCAGCTTGCCCGTCAAAAATTTTGACGGCCCATACTTGGGTACTACACAGATAGTAGTGCCCATTTTGGGGAAGGGGGTCCGTACATGCATGCAGGTTAACTTCCCAAAGTTTCAGCTCTGTAGCTTTCGTAGGTCTTGAGATGGAAAATCGGTACAGACGCACAGCGCACACGCAGACACACACATACAGACACACGCGCACACACACATGTAGACAACCGTTCGCCAGTATGCGTTTTCTACTTTGAATAGATGCAAAAAACCCATAAAAAAATAACACAATGCGTGATTCCTCGTGCACCACTGGTACAGTGTAGCGGTGCTGCACCACTGATCACACCAAAGCAATAATGATAACTCATTCGTCGATTTTGCCTGTAACGGATGCTTTTTTCGCTTCATCGTATCGCCCCATCATCAACAAAACAATTAGTTAGGAACAGCAACCTACAGGATCTGCTTTTTGTTAAATATTTTTTGGCATGTGCGTTTTATGTTTTGAAAATAATCTGCTTTACTAATTGGGGGGAGAGGAGGGACAGTTACGATGTTTAAAAAGCGGTGTACGTTAGAGCCGTTTCAAGGCAAGAAAACCCAAAAGATATATGCTTTTTCATCACTCGCTCATTCGTTGCTCGATCGTTTTTATGCGTTTTATGCTGTGTAACAGTGTTACAAAACGCATATTGTCACGGGTTTGTCTGTGTGTGTGTGTCCCACATTTTGTTCCG